AATGTATGGGAAACACTGTAGTCTCATAATTGAAGTGTAAATTCTGCAGATTACATCATTGTCCAGTATTGTACTGTCAGCAATTTATTATAAAAACGTTTTCATAATTGTAACATACATATTTACATACATAATTATTCACGTGCATGTGTAATAACTTGCGAAAACTTGAGGCTACAGCAGCACTTCTTCTTCATCGTCGTCTTGTCTGATGCACTCAACCAAGCGTTCTAACCACGACCTCGGCCCTCCCCACCCCCCAACCATTCCAATTTCAGGAAGGCGGGAATTATTTTAATGATATTCTAATGGGCCGCTTTGTGATATCACAAAACCCGGAAAACAAACGCTGTAGTCCAAACGAGCCGTTCGTCTTAGTTCTTGAAAAGGGATTTTTTTAAAACGAAATATCTCCCTTTGGAGTGGACTTTGAGATTTGTAAGTTTGAAGATCTTTTTTATGCCCAAACATACAAACGGACTAAAATTCAAAAAGTGAAAAAGCATAATAGGACCCCTTTAAAATGGAAAGAGCACAGGCAAGGCCAAAGTTTGTTTATATGAAGAGATTTCTTTTATTTGTATTTATTTATTTGATTTGGGGTTTTTTTTTTCAATTTAGTTTTGTTATTTGACATATTTCAATTTCACAAAGAAATGTGCAGCATTTTGTCCAATAAATATAAAAGGACACCTTTTCATTTATAATTTGTCTTAAATCTCAGTTTGTTAAAAATTGTGAGAAAATCATATTGTGAAATCAGCATAGTGAATTGTATTGCATTGCGAGTTGAGTGAATCGTTACATCCCTAGTTTTGACATGACACCACAATTTGCCTTCTTAAGAATTCAAGTATTTTTTCTTAAGAATCTGAAATTAAAGCTCCAAGAATGTGCTGACCTGTTAACTATAAATAATCTCTTTAAGAAAATAAACTTTTGACAAAAAAATAACTAGAATCTAATAATTATGATAATTCTGACTTGGCTGAACGCACACTCAAAATCAGTCATTTATAAAGTTGATATGCTATCTATGTAGGCAATACGTATGGGGCAAAACACCAGGTTTTGGAACAGAACTTGTATCTCTGATGGTTTTAAAGCCTAGAATTATATGTTTGAGATTTTAATAACCAAATTTTACTGTCTGCTTCAACAACTAACAATTTTCAAATTGAAGGCTGAACCATTGTGTGTATTATTTCTTCAACCTTAGGGCTTTTCGCACCGCTTTAGTTCCAGAACTAAATGTACAGTACTAAAGTACTGGGACGATTTTGCGCAAACTATTTCCCAGTACCATTTAACGGGAAATTTCTGAAAAACTGGTGAACGTGCAAAGGATCTCATTATCTTATAAAGCTGCTGCTGTTCAACAAACCTGTCCAAGCAAACCCTCAACATGCCATGCTCCATACACACAGAGAATAAAATATGCTAGGGTGCACAGAACACATAAAAAAAGACAAAAGAGAAAGAAGGACAGCGAAAGAAAGACGGAGAGAAAGACGCACATGGTCAGAGGTCTCTGAAGGCTGTCTACAGAGGCCTCTGGTAATGAGCTGGTCTGTACTGAGCTCAAGCTGGAGTTTTGGAACAGAGCGAAACGTTTTCTTCTGTCCATACCTCGCAAAATCCTGGCCAGCCATACTGGGACCCAGACCTTTGAAAATTAGACACAAATGACCAGTGTGAGCCACGCTGAGCTTCACGCCAACGGGAGAACGATCCAGAAAAAAAAGTGATGCAATGACGCAGGTTTTAATAGACGGCATTCGTCAAAAGGAGAGA